TTAGCTACGCACAATGACCTCAACTCAATAATTCAAACCCTTCAGGCTGTTCTATGAAACAAAATCTCCAAGTAAAGCTCAGCTGAAAATTCTGCTTTAACACCACAGTCCTTGTCAAAACCTGCCCAAGAGCTCACCTGGCACAACCGGGTTCTAGTATCGTTCCTGCTAACAACCAAATCAAGGAGGTCTTTAAGGACACCGAGGACAAAGATCAAAGCAACCTAGTTTTCAGAAGTGCTGAACCTTTCCTAAAGCTGATGAGAGAGGACGAGTTCTCCCAGTCTACAGCAGTTTTAAGCAAGAAGCCTAATCCTTATCTGCTTTGGGTGCCATCGCTGAGAAGTGCACCTTGGGTTTCTAGTTCCAAAGGGTAGGCCTCTACCCCCCCTTAAATTAAAGGACTAGATCCAACAGCTGGATGTGTATCAGGGGGAACATGCTCTTGCAAAGCATGGCTCTAACGGAATGACAAAGACATGTTTGCTTGAATCCATGGATCATTTTTGGAAGGAGAGAAGAGAGATGTTCAGAGTTGCAGGCGTGAATTCAGTAGCACAAACCTAATGGGAACATTTTGCCGCTAGAGTAAAGCATTTTTGGTATTCCCACTGTTAGGCGTCCAGCTTAAAGACCTCAGGTTGAAAACACTGATTTCAGGTAAATGAAAGAGAAAGCTGCTTTCAATTTACAATTAATTTAAAAAGCTTCAGGTACAAGATACCAGTATGGGAAGGCCCTACAAACAGTAAACACTATTATCATTTCACTGTGAAAGTCAAAACGCCAGGCACAGAGGTATCTGTCCTCAGAGAATTGAAGTATGTGTGGTCCTTGATACAACGTTTGTTTATTCCATTTCTGCTGTCACACGGAGCTTTACACCGGCAGCCACCGGCTGTATTCATCTGAACGGTAACACTGTGCAATTCAAAGGCCTCTAATATGAGTTTTTCTGCACGCATTTGATCGCAACACAAAGCAATGTGTAGAAAGCATTTCCTAAAAAAAAGGAGAAGCAGCATCTAGGATTCGTACATCTGCAGTATTTCTATCACAGCGTAACGTTAAGACGCTATGGCTTTTTCACCTGGCTTCTTAACAGCGATGTGACAATGAAAGCCTGCACAGAAGGGAATCAAAAAAGCATTACCGCCCGAGTTCACCGGCCAGATTCGACTCTGTCTAGCGCTGATGTAAATGAAGGGTAACACCACAGAGTCAGCAGATCCAAGACATGGATAATAAGCACAGAGGCAGGGGACTGATACTATTTCAGAGCATCTTCATTCACTCCACCCTTTCGTCTTCCTGCTCTGCCAACTGCCTTGGAGCTGCAGGGAGGGCTGTGAGGGAAATCATCCCCAAAGTGGGACCACTGTCAGCTGCTCTGTTCGGACAAGAAAGAGAGCAGCAAGGGGAGCCTGGGGGTCGGCCACTGAACGCAGGATGAGCAGTGAGGAGTGCGACTGAGCTCCGAAGCATGCGCACAGTGATGCACTGTTGCTCCTGGAAGGACACTGCCATTTATGTCTGCCTGCTGGGGTTCGGTCTGGCATATTCAAAGAGCTGGCAAGCGTGCAGAAGGGTTGCTCCTTGGGCTCTTTTCTGAAGGTGGGTTAACGTTCTTTAAGACAGGCACAGACCATAGGGGGAATTTCACATCCGCTACCGAAGACAGCTGGAAACAACACTAGGGATGCCAAAACACCTAACTGCGCTTTAGGTTTTAGGACCTGCTCAAAGTATCAAGGATCTGATTTTAACACTCACTCCAGTTAGCACCCTCTGGTACCCATAATATTCTCTCCCTACTGCGAAGGTTGCAGGGGAATAGCCCTAGCAGTTTCTGGGACATAAATTACCCCTCCATTGCTGCCTGCCATAGCTAAACAGGCCAATGCATCTACCCAGGCATGACAGTCTTATGTGGTCACATGTTTACATGGACTTTCCTAAATTAGTACTAGCACTGACTTTGTTGAGCTTGACGCAGAGGATTTTGCTGGTTTACATTCACAGATTGACGCAGCCTCTCTGACGGACTGTCTCCTCCTCCTGCAAAGATTTTTAGATTAGCAGCAAGAACCTCCCATTCTTTTCAAGATCGTCTGATACACAACGTCCCAGAGGGTCTTCCTCGACTTCTTTTGCACTTAGTTTATTCTCAGTAACGCCAACTAGCATGTGCTTGCTACTCCCAATGGACTTAGCCAAGATTTGCATTTGCATTTGATAGAGGCACCTCACTTCAGGCAATTTAATACTTTTAGGTAAAATAAATAGTAAACACATAATCCTGGATCCAAAAAAGCATGACTCTGAATCTACCATGGAGCCCTGGTAGAAAAGTACCAAAGGCTTTGTGATACACCAAGCATCATTTGCGACTGTGGAAAATTAGCTAGGCTTCACCCTGCTAGCAGACACACTGCTTAGCAGAATATGAAAAGTGACATGAGCCAAATTTGAGAAGTGTATACAAGCTTATTTAACGACACTCTTTTCCATTCGAGGGCTATAACTCAAAGTTCATTTCTCCAAATATTTTCTGTATCAGTGCATATAAATTTTCTTAATTGTTTTGCAAACTACCACATTTGAAAATGTGCAGTGCATTCACTTTCTCCTAGCTCTTGACGGGTAAGTAATAAGGTTCCCTTATTCCTTTGAGTGATTTTTTTTGGAAGGCTTTATATACACATATATGTATATATATGCATACATGTATTATATATTTGTGTGTGTGTGTGTGTGTGTATTATATCCACATATACACACAGAAGGCTATTTAAGTTTAGGTATTTTTAAACAGTGATCCCTGCACCTGAATTTTGAACAAGATTTCAGCAAGTTCTAAGAAGCTGTCGTTTTTCTCAGCTCTTCTCCAAAGCCTCAACATCTTTGTTGAACCATTTTAGCCATTTCTCGACTATCTGTATAATAGGGTTTAGATTCTTAGCTATGTAAGTTGTGAAGACAGAAATGGTTTGGATTAGCTAATTATATCAAGAATTTCACAGGACTTACTTACAAATAGCACTGAGGTGGAATCCAGTTTCTTGGAGAAGGAGATTTGTGTTTATGAAATTAAAGACAGGCCAACTAGGTTCTCCTCAGTCCCAAATAGGGAAAAATAAAGTAAAACTTAGGTGGCTATCTTAACGAAGCCGCCGTATCACGTAAGTTTCAATCACTGCTGCAAGAACACTGTTTAGACTTGCATCCAGGTTTATTCAGCACAAACAGTATAATGTGTAATGCTCCTTCCCTATGTTTCAAAGCACTTCAAAGGGAATGAAAAAAAACCCTAAGAAAACAGGGGTTAGGTACATATATTCTTTCATCCTGGTGTAGAAAGCAACATTTGCTTGCATTAACTTCAGGTCGTGATTCCAGAAGTATTCAGCACTCATCTCGCTCTGACCCCACTGGAGTCGCCAGTAAAACTTTCACTAGCTCAGAAAGATAGTACTGATGTGGGCTGCTTTTTTGAAAGAGCTTATTGCCTTAGTATTGCAGAAGTATTTGTCTGGAAGAACTGTCAAAGGTTAAGAAAAAAAAAAACAGCAACAGAACAAAACAAAATAACTATCAGGTCTTTTTCTTGCTGAAATCGTCATTGATAAAAGGGTGCAGGCATCCCCTAATCGTCAAAGGTTTTATCTGCTTAGAACTGATAACTCACCAATGATGGGGTTTTTTGTTTGTTTGTTTGTTTGTTTTTAACATGCAAATGGCATAGCTGGCTGCATTGTAACTGTGCAAAGTTTCCGGCCAGAAGGCAGAGGAGTTGAGCCTCAGCTCCAGAGTCGGAAGGCAGAGGGGCTGCGGGCTTTGGCAGGCTCCTGGAGGAAGCTGCCTCCCAAGGAGCTGCACTCTCCCCGAGGGCAGCAGGTCAGACAAACGGACGCAAGCCAGCCTTATGCAAAACCTATTCTACCCTGAAACACTGGGGTAAAAATGATTCATCCCTTACAAACTGCCGGGACAAATGGTCTTTACGCAGAGTTTTAATTATTATTCTGTATTTCTAACTTACGACTGAAGGACTGAAGTTACTTCTTGGCGGCTGTAGAAGCTGAAGACACAAATGGTCATTTATACGTCCCTGAGGGACAACTTAGGACACGCTAAACTGATACCCAGAATGTCCAGAGCAATATGGCTTCTGTGCTGGTGTTCCTGCCATCAGATGTAAACTTCTTCCCAGGCTAAACCTAAAGTTCAATGCTGGCACATCCTGAGCGTACTGTTTAATAGCCTGGTATTCATTCTCAATGCACTTTCCTATTTTATGGACTATTTTCCCTAAACACTTTGCATCGCTGCCATCACTGTTCACTAAAATCTTCATTCATTACTGCTGTGTGAATTATCCAAATACTACTGAAGGTGAATAACCCTAGGGAAGGGAACTAGAGAAAGGGATCAAAGTGATTAATCAAAACATACAGATACTCCAAGTTTGAAAAATGGAGCATTAAAAAAGAGAGAACGTGACGGAAACAGAGGAACATTGGCTATATTGAAAACACTCGTCTCACTCACATACAAATTCTTTCGTGACAAATAGAATCAGGACAACAGGATAACTTTTTCTTTAAGGTTAATCTCTCATCTGAAGTCAAATTATCCCTGAGCCTGTAAAACAATTACTGCAACAGCTTAATTGTGATACCATGGACAGAAGATTGTGAGTCAAGGCACAGCCCAAGCAGCAGGAACAACCACAACCCAAGCAGTACTGGCCACCCTTCCCCAGCACGACCTTCAGCAATGAACAGAAAAGAGAATATAGGTAAGAGAGAAAGCAGATGAGACAAAACTCAGAAAACGCATGATGCTCAACCTACTGACTTGGAAAAAAAAAAAAAAAAAAAGGCATTGTGAGGCAAGAATCGACAAATGTTGTTCTCCGTAAGGGAGGACCTGGGGAATACCTGTGGCCATATTCATGATGTGCTGATGACAAAGCTAGGAAGAAAAGCGGTACTTACAGCCCGAGCTGCCGTTCATTGGGACCAAGGTGAAGTTGGAGGCCCAGGGGTTACGCACGATATCCTGCCAATGAATGGTGTCTGCGAAGCACAGAAATTTGTTCTGGCCAACATACACGCCGCCATTCAGTATTTCTGCACCAAAGAACAAGAGGAGACACTTGTAAGACTTTAGATATACAGCCGACTCAATCTGTTGCTGCTTTGTGTACCGGAGAGAGAGAGAGGGCATGAAAATTAAATGCAAAAATTCTCAGCGCAAGCTCACCTAACACTCTGAAAAATGGAGGTCAAGTAGCTTATAGCATTTGTAAACAGCAAGCCATTTATTTACACAGAAGAAACATGATGAAGATAGCCAGGGATTACAGTGTCTTCACACCAGACAAAGGGATCTGACAGGTCCTAGATGAGTTATTGGGTTAACCTGTTGTTCCAGTGTAATCCAGTACCTAACTGTACTGTCATTTGTGGGTAAAATACCTTTCAAGACTGTATTGACTTTAAAATCACAAGCAATCAATCACACTATGCTGTATTTCTTTAACACATGAATGAGCATTAAAAACGTATTCAATAAACGGATGTGTTTCCCGGGTGTAGGAATTTTCTGATCCGGCAGTAAATAAGCAGGCTGCAGTTGTCTCAAGGCCTGCAGAAGCATTTCTTTACCATCACACCACATTGCCCTAGAAGCTCTACACTCTTATCCCTTCTGCAGGAGCTCACCTGTTTTTTTTAGATCAGTGAATCAACCTTCAACTTTTCCTAAAGCTCCTTCAGACTCCCTTTACATCAAACTTAGTCACAAATATTGTAAAAACTTCAGTAAAGAGACCGTGTTCTTTTATGCATTTGACATACAGTAACAGAGGAAAGAGATCAAATTGGTGCTGTGAACTATTTTCTTCACCTTCCTCCTTCCCATATATTATGGCCCAGACCCATCACTGAAGTGCCCAGCGGGGAGCTGTTGGTCTAAGCGATGTGCTTTCTGAGCAGGCGGCTGTTCTCATTATACTCCCTAATTGGCAGTTTGCGGGCCGTGACACCTTGTGGGCAGAGGCTTTTCAGAAATTTTGGAAATTTGGTAAGTTCAGAAAGTTATTAGTGTCAACTCATTCCTTTATTTCAGTGCACGTGCTTATATTGGTCGGTTTAACACAAACGGCTTGTTTCCTGATCTCCACAGACTTGATTTGGCAAATCTCAACATAAAAATGATCTTACGGTTGTTGGAAGGACCATCAGGGTTTCCTTCGGAGCAGTGACTTCTTTTTACCCTCCAAACTCTTGTTGAATTTCAGCATTGCTCTTTCTTACTTCTTAACCCGACTCTGGTATTTCCAAAGCCATGTGACTTTCATTAAAGTTAATGGGAGCTATGCAGCTAACACCCCATGCACCACTTAGTGTCATAGATTCAAGCCTCAGCAAAGAAATTTTGAAGGTGAGTTACTAATGGCACCTTAGAATGACATTAAGTGGTGCTATACAGCTAGGAGCGTCATCCCTCTTCAAGAGGCATTAAGAGTAAATCTCTATTATTGTGGCAATGATTAAGGTTGTTTGATAGTCTTCTAATCTTTAAAAGCGGTAGCGGGATTGCAAAAATTGACAAACAGCAAGCAGTGAATTACTGCATTTTTCTCTTAAAATTTCAGAGTTTACAGACCACAGCACATGAAGAACGCAGCCCCCGTTTAAGGAACGTATTAAATAAAGGATCATCTCTAAATACATCTTTCTACCATATTAATCAGTTCAGAGTACTAATATCTATTTCTTAGAAACCTCTGGTTTAAAAGCTTGGCTTTTCATTGAAAAGGGGCTTAAAAATGAAAACAATAACCGTAAAGAGTCCAGATTAGAGGCATAGCAATGATCTGTCTGTGTGATATTCTTATGATCCCTGAAAAACCCCATACAGCATCTGTTAGCAATTCTGCTCCAGGGAAAAAGTGGGACTTACAAGAACCCTTGAAAACATGATTAGTCACCATTTCTCTATTTTGTCCCGGCTATATAGGATTAGCTAATCCGCTACGACCCAAATTTTGATTAAAAATAAAGTCTAACAAGCTGTGAAAAACTGAACAAATCTACGTTCAGAGCTTTTTAAACACTTATACATTGTTCCAAATAGTAGCACTATCAGTTTGCACATCTGAACACCTGCCACTGGCACAATTTATTTTTTTAGAGCGTTCGCTCTTGACAATACCTATCAAATTTTCTTCTTTCCCCCAGGAACTTTGATGCATTCTTGTACATCAGGCAGCATCTCATGCTACGAGTCATTCCACTAGTTTCAATTTGTGGGGAAAGACATTTTTCAGCTTAAAAGTAAACAGAATCTGGCCTCTCGTTACTGTCAGGATAAAAACCTGCCAGCTTTCACTGTGATTTACTAGAAGCAAACATGGAAGATGCTCTAACTTCCCTTATTAGTGAATAATAAGCACTGCACTCGCTGTCCTACCCCAAAACTCAATGTAGTTTCTTGATTTGCCCTGAATCGTATCATTTTTCACAGGCGAGCTGATTAAAGTTTACCAGTCTAGTAATGGTCTAGTCATGCACCGAGGCCCTAATAAGATCAATAATACCAGTAATAACACCAAAGTTGGGCTTTTACAGATGATAAAATAAAAGGGAGTTCAAAGTTGAGTGTCATCTTTAAAGCGCTTCTGCGTGACTCTTCGGTTGAATCCACGTTCATTCCCCTTCCACCTTCCCCTTCCACCTCGCTACTCTGCTTTCCCTTAGGCTTATCCTCGGCAGGCGCAAATCTGCAGAGCTCTGTTGGCTTCCCTGAACTAACACACCCAAACGCATTTTGCTCTTCTCTGCCCTCTCTTACCAAGAACAATGCTCGGAAAGACCTAATAAGCCCTGTTACATGTCAAGCAAATGAAGCACAAACGTAATCAATATACAGTAGTAGAGTTACTGGATAATGAAGTCATCATCGTAAAGTCATCATCTCATTTTAATTTACAGCACTGAAAGTGAGAGATTAAAGTTAAACACTAAACAGGAGGAGAAAGGCAGAGATTTGTGACTATGGGGGTGAGCTAGCAAAGGAGGCCAAGCAGAAAGGAGCTTTCTTTTCCCGTGTGCAACACCTGAAGTCATTTTGGTTGAACTCTTTCAGAGACCGGGGCAGGAAATGAAGTGAGAAGCCCCCTAGTTCCTACCAAAACAGCACTAAAAAAACACCCACTGTTCACAGTGGAACGTATTTGAAACGTCATCTTGGGGCGGGGGGCAGGGGGGGGTTGTCTTCTAAAAATATTTTTTGGTGACATTGGAAAATGAGTAACCCAAGCGCGGCACCGCTGCCCAGGATAGCCCGGGGGAGCATCGGCTCTATCAGCTGCTGCCGCGCTGGGAGATAACGTTGCCGTTGGGCCTCCGTGCTAGTCAAGGACACAGAGCTACCAAAGGGGATTTTGAAGCACGAGTCCCACTGGCTTTCACTGGGAAAAGGGTTCCTAAAGGTGTCAGACGATTTTGCAAGCCTTCCTATAAACTCCTGATAGCTACACTTCAGCGAGCTTCCCTATCTCCTGTGCTGGCAGGAACGCTGGTTCTCTGAGCTGCTACTTCGCAATCAAGTGCACGTAAATCTTATCGTCTGCCTCAGGAGAACTACTTTACTGGCTCAAAACCAGTATAATTCTGTCATCCCAGCTATATGCAAATAAAGCACCACGTGCATTCGCCACCGACTTCGGTTGTATTTTGCTTATTGTGCGGAGAGCTGCCAAATAATTGGAGGAAATTTCTATGTGCGTGTTACTAAAATTCTGTTAAATGGTTATTTATCCAGGGACTCAAATCAAAAGCATGCTAGCTGTTATTTCTGCTGTCTTCTTCCTTCCGTTAGCCCAGGGATGAAGCAGAACTGTCATCACCGAACTTTGGTAACCAATCAGACAATATTAACAACATAAAAACGAAGCATTCAGGTCTCTGGCAACTATGAAACACAAGTACCTTATCCTTTCCATACTGTGCCATGGATGATAAACAGGCGCATCATCTGCTAGGTTCAAAAAGTGGCTAACGTCATGACAATCATTCTAATGTAATGAAGAGTTTGACCAGAGTCATCAAAAGCTTAAGATCACTGTAAATAAGGCAAAAGGACACTAGACTGACATATCCATTGCATGTTTAGACTGGAGATGGAAAGAACTTTCCCGCATGCATCTGTTGAAAGGGCATTTTCTTCAGCTGGCTTTTTCTTGTGTACAGTGTAGTCCCTCATGGTCTATGCTACCCAGTTTCTAATGTGGATTAAATTGGCAGGACACGTTCACATGTTCACACTCTGCAACGTAACCTGAAGTGCAAATAACGCCTTTGTGTTGATACACAGTGGGTGTTGTGGCTTTAAAGCGGGCAGAGAAAGGGGAAGGAGGGGATCAGGAAAAACAGGTTGAAACATCCACTGCAACCACCGCAAAAGCAAAACAGAAAACATCTTACACCACCTAAGGTGATTCTCTGCTAACTAAACAGCTGTCCTTTACACCGCACCATATAAGGTGTATCCTGCACATCCATGTTATATAATACATATTGCTAATACCTGACCTTAATATTCAAGATGAGCCTTCATTTGAGCTGATACATCTTTGTATGCTGACATTGCTGCATCTTCCCCATCGTCACCCAGATGACGGAGATCTGTGGTCAGATACCGTATCACTCCCAAAACATTGTTATAGTTCACTCAAGACGCTGCATGCATTATCTCAAAGTGGCTTTGGCCACTGGAAATTTCCTGCCAAACCAAGTATTTGAGCTCTTAGCATAGCAGACTGCTGATGACCCACTGGGAAAGCACTTCAGGTTCATCATTAATAAGTTATGTCTTAAAGGGTAATGAGAACTGGGTGCTTTAGGAGACAATAGCTCATCCATCATCAATCAAGAGCTGAAGTTTTTATACAGATGATTTCAGAAGAGTTGGACTGTGTAAAATTGAAATGTCACATTTGTATTGGGAGATGGGGGGAGTCTGATAATGAAAATGAGAGCTTTAACCTTCTCCATTTCAGCTCAGTGACCATACTCTGAAGCTCATGGATGTGAAATCTGTGTACCAGCTAGGAGCCCCAGAC